AGCAAGACAAAATTTCCATCGCAAATACCGTAGAGAAGACAAGGATACAGATGCAAGTGTACCGGGAAATGTATTGGTAGGAGCTGCGGAAGCTATCTTTCTCCTCTCAAATGTTTGTTTTGAAAGCGTTCCGAGATACAGAAAAATTAAAAGAATAGTGTAACAGACATCTATCCATTCACCACCAAGCTTCAGCAATTGTGAATGTTCTGTTGTATTTGTTTGATCTGTTTGTCTCTCTCTATATATTACATTGAATCAAGTTAATGTTGCAGACCTCATGACATGTCATCTCCACATAATACATTCACATAGTATTTTCCTCATACCAACTAATAGCCAATCCATATCCAAGTCTCAGAGACTTTTAAAGGCTGAGGCTTTTATACAAGCACTCAGTCACATTTCACACACTGCAACTGATTATATTCCTCAACTTTTTTCCCCACTGACTTTGACTTTTTCAAGAGAAGAGAACAGCTGTGGATGACTTTTTTCCCCATACGCTATGGCTCAATGTGTAGTATTTCCTATAGATCAGACATTAAGTCACAGGCTTTTAGTTGAACGTTTTGGGCAAGAACCTGGCACAGAAGATGCTATGTTTTTCATGCAGCATTACAGTAGGAGGTGTGCACTGGCAGACTGTTCTACCGTTACTGGTGCTAAGTTAGATCATGAGGCTACATGGCAAACGCCTGATCTTTTCATTAGATCAAGCTTCGAACCCGGGCAGTCTGACCCCAGGGTTTGTGCCTCTCACCACTTTGCTATATTGCCTCTCTAGCTAAGAGCTAGATAAATTAGGAGTTTGGGATTAACAAATACACGTTACTATAGAGGAAATATTTAAACAACAAGGACCTACTGTATAGTACAGGGAACTGTATTCAATTTCCTGTAATAACATAAAAAAGATTCTGAAAAGAAAAAAGTATGTATGTATGTATACATATAACTGAATCACTTTGCTGTACACCTGAAACTAACACTGGAAATCAACTACACTTCAATAAAAAATAAAAAATAAAAAATAATTAAAAATTAGGGTTAGAACTGCCTGCACTGCTGGACTGGGTTAGAGCCACAGTGGGAGGACAGGGAGGTTAGTGGTGAGCAGGATGCTTTCTTAAAAAAGAGACTTTTCTTCTTGGTTTTTATTCTGTGGGTTTTTTGTTTGTTGGTTTTTGTTTTTTTGCTTATGAAATTGGGTGAAGGTCAACAGCTTTGCCAATAGCTAGTCCTCATCTGCTGCACAGAATGGAAAATATCAAGTAGCCTCGAATGTTCATGTGCCCAGTTTAACCAGTTTAATCCTATAAAATCTAAATCACTACTGGTGCGGAGGGGACAACATGGATTTCTATAACACAACTCTCGAAGTTACTTTGATTTTAATCCCATTTTAAAAATATATAACACTTCGTGAAGCTAGGTGAGGGATCAGGGAATAAAATGACATGAGAGTCCCACGTGTAGAGGTTAGAAATAACTTCTCTAACGCCCAGAGCAGTGGTTTAGGGAAGTGGACGAACCACATCCAGGCATGATTCCTCATGGCCCTTCGACTGGCTGCACCGTCTTCATTTTCACTCGCATTAATTCACAAATAATTTTGTGAGTGAAAATGGAGTAAAAATCCCCTTTGCTAGAACATTGCTAGATATTTTTATAATTGACAGAAGAAGCATGTCTTATGACTGTAGTCAATTCACAGAACTAATTAAGCCTTCTTGGTATCTTTGCCTCATTTACTGAGCCCAGTGGCCTACTGAAAATATTTACTATCTGATCCTTTACAGAAAGAGTTTGCCAACCCCTGGTGTATACTGTCCCTCCTCTTGACCTAACTTCTGGAATATATATTCTATTTCTGAGATAGAGCTGTTTCAGTAGGTAAAAAGTCTGCACAAATGGGTATTTCTAAATAACCGCTTATTTATGTGTTGATTTTTCCCTCATTATTTTCAGCAATTTCACATCTCCCTCCCAAAGATGATTGTGTGAGAAATCACAAAATATTTCACAGAATTAGCAGCCAATTCGAAGCGAGTGCTCTACTGGGATGTTACTGACACGTGTTAAACGTCCTTTTGCATAAGACGTGGGACAAAACGGTGCCCAAGAATGGAGTGGTGAATGTTAAGTTTTCCCTCCAAACTGGCCCTGAGGCCTCTCAGCATCCAGGAACGGAAGAGCCAAGTGCCGGAGTCTCTGCCCTTTCTTCCAGGCCTTGGCAGAAGTCAGTTCACCCACCCCGGGCAGCATGCCTGTCACCTTTGCTCTGCTTCCTGAGTCCCCTGGCACAGTTCTTGGTGGGTGATGCCGAGGTTTGTCCCTTCCTGTGCTGAACCGGACAGTCCGCCTTCACGTGCACTCCATTCTTTGAATCTTCCTCAAACGTCTTCAGGAGTCCCAGCAGCTTCTCATCAGTGACGGGCTCCCGGGGCCACTCCCGCTGCTGTCTGGGCTGCAGCCTTTGAGAGCTCTGAGGCTTTACACGTGATACGTTCACCTTTCCCTCTGCCTTGAGGTTCTCTTAGGGCAGTAGCTTTGTACAGACATCTCTCATGTGTTTCCACTGGCATCTCTGCCTGAGTATGAAAGTGCGTGGGGCCAGATGGCCGGGAGGCAGCGGCAGGGACAGGAGAACTAGCGTGGATATGGCACACCCAGCTGGGAGTGGACGAAGTTGCAGACTGAAAGCTGTTTTTTTTAATTGGAGTGAAAAACATATAACATAAAATGTACCATCTTAGCCATTTTTAAGTATGTGTTTCAGAGTGTTCTGTACATTCGTTGTTGTGCAACAGCTCTCTAGAACTTTCTCATCTTGCAAAACTGAAATGCTATATTCATTGAACAAGTCCCATTTCCCCTACCCCCAGCCCCTGGCAAATACCTTTCTCCTTTCTGTTCCTATGAGTTTAACTTTAGATGCCTCATATACATGGAATCATACAGCGTTTGTTTTTACAACTGTCTTTTTTCACTTAATATAATGTCTTCAAGGTCTGGAAGCCATCTTTTGATAATTCTGAGTTTCTCGAATAGAAAACACAGGTCATGAGCAGGGGATGAGAAGGTGGAAAGAGGTTTAAGCAGAGAGAAGCTCTGAAATTGTATCTAAGATAGCTGGAAAGTAAACAAACGAGGGAAACAGCATAGGATGACACCAGAGACCCACATGAGGCCATGAATTTAAAGTGAAACCTGCTAGCATGGTCCTGTTGTTTTTCCAGGCACATTCTGATACTCGGGTCCATATATCACCTAGGTGTACAATTGAATATGACTAGGGTTGAATTTTGCAAGGTCAACAGAGAGAGATGGTGGGAGTTGATGATACAAGCAAGGGGATCTTTCAACAATGCATTATAGGGTCCAAAAGATGAAACAGTGAGGACACGACTGAACAGAAGTGGTGAGATCAGAAGACTGAATATTCCGGCAGTGTGGGACTGCTGGATTTGCTGCAGCTCTCTCTCACCTGGATTCCTGCTGAAGCCTCCTTACCAGTTTTCTTCTTCTTTCCAATCCGTTCTCCCTCTTGTGGTCAGAAATGATCCCTTTGATGTGAAAATTGGATGGAATCACTCCTTTCAAATTCCCCAAGGGATTCCCATAGCACTGTGGACAGTGGCTAACTTTTTCATGACTTGAGGTCCTGTGTATATATCTCAAGCCTCATTCTCCACACTTTTTCAGCATCTCCAATATCTCCAGCACCGTTTGTGCCAACAGCTAGGACAGTGCCTGGTACATAATAGGTGCTTACTAAGTGTTGCTGTCAGACTGGTTTTGAAAGGTTTGTTGAATTACTGACATATGGATCCTCTAGAGCAACCTTTCAGTTTAGGATTCTAGTCCTTTGATGGGTCCTGGTTAAAAGAAAAAAATTTAAAAAACTAAAAAGAAGAAGAAGGAGGAGGAGGAAGAGGATGAGGGAGGGAGAGGGGAGGGGGAACAGGAGGAGGAGAAAATAGAGTTTGGTGGCCAAATACATTACTCCCCACCGTGCCCCTCTGAGACACTCACAAGGCCTCACAGAAGCCCTCTTGAAATGAATTCTGTTTATTTTTATCTAACAAAGCATGTCTTAACTGTATTTGAGCATGGGGCCCTCTTTTCAAATTGGTGGGAGAATATAAAACACTACTGGGATCTTTCTGTGCTCCAAACAATATGCTCCAATAACAGAGGCAAAACCTTCTATGGGGTATGCATATGTGAAAAGAATTTAAAATCTCTACAAACATATAGGCCGGTGTCTCCTGCTTGACCCAACAGCGAAGCCACGGATGGCATATTGTGTTTTCTGCAGGGTGGCACCGCCTTGTCCTTGATCATCAGATGTGCTGTGTCCCTTGCTCCTCCAAAGGCTGTCCCCAGTGAAGCTGTCACCGGTCTCTGTGTCAAAGGCGCAGGAGAGCTGGCTGTGGATTCCAACCCTACTGTTGGAAGGGGAACAACTGTGCAGGCAATAAGGAATTATTGTCCATTTCTTGGATTCCAGAAGTGAGAGCTCAACCAGACAACACAAATTCAAATGAACTTTTCAACCAATAGCAAAGTTTTTGTCTAGTAATTTAGGCAAAGTATAGTGTTCCTAAATAATCATAAATGTATGACATATTTTCTATTTTGAAATCAACTTGGAGAATATTCATTCTTTTTCTGTGTATTTTTTGCATGCGCGGATTACTAAGGAAGTTTGTTTCACGCTCATTTAGTACCACGTTTGGCACAGTTTGGTTTGACCAGCTGTTGGGTGCTGTCACATCTCCTTCAAGTGGAAAACTGACTCCATTTAAAAAACTAGGTGTGAGAGGAGGAAGTTACAGAGCTTCTTTCTCATGAGGAGATTCTCTGACCTAAATCTGTGTCCCTTCACACTTCTGTCCCTGGGCTGCCCCCAACCCGCTCTGTGTACCCTTCCCTGCCGCTCCCACTCCGGTCTCTCATGCACAGAGAGGTAAGAAAATGGAAAAGAGGCTTAGTGTTTGTTTGTTTTTTTAATCAAAGGCCTGCAAGTTCCAAAATGTCACTGGCTCCATGATACTTTTTTCTCCTCTTTTCACTAAGTCAGCGATTTAAACCCTCTTCCACCTCCCCAGCTCTCCCCTTCCTCAAATGCATTTCCCTTATTATCTTTTCTTATAGGTTCTAATTTGAGAACAACTTCTTTTTTTCTATCAAGATAACACAAACCTCGGAAGACACAAGGTTCAGATGAGGGAAGGTTGTGCAGGGCACGTTCTTCTTTGTCTGTGTATCTCACCACCAGCTGGGGTAGCTGTGGGGTGGCCGTGACATCTACATGGGTGCAAAGCACTCACGTACAGATGCAGTCATGGCCCTAGAGAACCAATCGTAATTGAAGGCAGATTCTATGACTGTCCTTTGTGGCGACAGCTTCTCACCAAAGGGTGTCCGCAAGTTCAGATTCAGGATGGTTAAGACCTAAGAGCATCTTCTTCCCACATCCAGGGACAGAACTGGACAGAAACCGATATGGTTTCCAAATGCCCACTCTGAACCGAGTCTACCTTTGTGATTCAGGTTAGAGAAAAAGAGGAACAAATGGTAAGAGAAGGAAGGGGTTAAAATGAAAGAAAGAAGATGGAAAGAAAAGAGTACTAATTAAAGGTGTTACTAAAGTACACACCATCATGGATGTCTCAGACCCGGTACAATATTTACAAATAATACTTGCAAACCTGGGAACATATACACAGATGATGTTTAATACAAATAAGTATTAATTTTTTTTTGAGTTGAGGTGGATCTTGAGAAGAAATATAGAAGGATAGTCAGTTACAAGTTTAGTCTTTTCCCAAATCAGCCAGTAGTCCAAAGGTAGCACACAGGAAGAATTTCTGAATCGAAACAGAGAAAAGATTTTCATCTGGAAATTTGCATCCTCACATGCCATTTTAATATGCAAATAGCTCTGCAAAAGCACCCAACCAAAACCTAGTCAGCCAGTATCTCATCAGATGGTTGCAAAGAAACAAAATGCCTCCAAAAATAGCTGAGTAGGTAAGTTGGGAGGGAAGCTACGCTGGGGAGGAAAACTCTGCCCTCTTTAGAATTTCGTCTTGAGTCAGTCCTAACCAAGCCAACGCAGGCACAGGGAAATTAGCTCTGCTGATCCTCTTGCTGAAGAGCAGGTGACTTATCTTGCTGAAGATCAGTGACTCCTCTGTTGCTCCTACATTTATGATGAAAATGTAAAGGGCATTGCAAATCAGCTCAAGTGAGAACACGACAGCCCGGCTGCTGGCTTCTTCCTTTGTCTCCTCTCTAGTGTAAACACCACCCAGGGCTAAAGGCTGGAGACTTGTTCATCTGGCCACTTAACCAAGACTTTTTAAAGAAAATTATTTAGATTTTTTTTCTATAAAGTTCCAAAAGTTCTAGTTACATCACAGACCACTGGAATAAAATGGGGGGTGGGAGTACTTTAAAACAGTGTATACCCTCTCAGAAGTGAGGAATGGGAAAAACTCCTGCTGCTGGAAGGGTTGTGTAATACTTACACAAATCTGTAAAATAAACAAAAAAAATTCAAACTTCCTTCTCCTTCAGCTTGTTTTTCTTCATCCACTGGTGCACAGATATCTTTCTTATCTCAAAGTCTGCTCTCAAAAACGAGGATTTCTCTAGGTTGAAAGTAAAAACTACCTCAAAAGGTGGACCCAGCAAAGCCTGTGTTTGGTGCGAATCTTGACTCTGCTCCTTTTAAACTGAGTCAGCTTGGGCAAGTTGCTTCACTTTGCCCGTCAGCTTCCTCCTTCCTTGGGTCAGGGGGAGGGCAGGGGAGTGATCAAGATAAGGATAGCTAACTCACATTTTACACCGGTGTTCTCCGCGCTCGACAAACATTTTGTCTTAGTATGTGCTAAGCGCTTGGGATACAGGGGTAGACAAGACAGAACTGGTCCTTGAGAAGCTTATGGCCTGATGAAACCTTTAAGTGCCTACTGTATACGTACGTCATGCATTTGCCCGGGACTCCCACATACACGGCATCCACTGATCCTCACAACAGGAGTGTTGTCACTCAGGATTCCTGAGCACTCCTGACCTCTGCTCTGAATGGTCTGTGGAGTAGCTGTTCTTTCAATAAATATTAAAGGTGCCAGGCACTGTGTTGGCACAGGAGATTGAACGGGGAACCTTGTGCTGGATCAACTGGACCTCATCTGATTAACACAATTATTTCCTGAGTTCATTCAAACATCACGTGGAGTGTCTTAGAGTGTCTCCTATACAGTGCAAACCATGGTATTCAACTGTTTGACATTCAGTCTCTGTGCTGTCTAGATTCATTGAAAAGGTGCATAAAACACACGTTCCTAAGTGGCTGAAGGGAAGACAACACGTATGTATCAGGTACCTTTCATCTGCCAGGCTCTGGTCCCCCTGTGCATTTCTTCATTTAGTTTTCACAACAAGGGTATGATGTAGGCATTATCCTGTTTACAGAAGAAGAAACTGATGTTCAGAGCGGTTAAACACGAAGGACTTCTTAACAAGTGTATATTTGAGGATATAGTCTGAACTGCTGTAATGAAGAGACCAGAAAATATATGACTTCATTAAATAAATTCATGTTTATTTCTCAACAGCCCCAATGTGAGCATTTCAGGTTGTTGGAGCAGCTCTGTTCCATAAAGGGATCCAGGTTCCCTTTCCATTGCTACTGCCGTCTCCTGCATGGCCAAAACTGAGTCACCACCATATACGTGGTCCAACCCATGGGAAGGGAAAAGAAAATACACGGGGCAAGTAGCTTTGTTCTGAAGGAGATGACCTAGAAATTGTGGAAATCCCTTCTGCTCACATCCTACTATCTGAACTTAGGTGTTTGGCCACACCCACCTGCAAGGGAGGCTGGGAAATGTAGTCTATAGTGGGGCAGTCATGTGCTCTGCTAGAACGTCGGATATTTTAGTAAAACGTAAGTTGACAATGAGCACTTAGAGCAGTCAGCAGACTCTGGCATAGCTAGTAGGTGATGAAGCAGGAATTCATCACCTACTTGCTTGAATCCAATACCATGCCACTCTCTTTTAGACACAAGAGCTAAAGAAACCTGCCTCTCCATCCATTTCTCTGCAGTGCAGAATAATAATAATAGTAATAATAGTAATAGTAATAATAATAATAATAAAAATAATAATTTTATTATTATAATTTAGGAGCAAGCAACTGGAATCGCAACTTCTCAGAAATATAGGGGCATTGTTTCATCAACTTTTCTTCCTATAGATGCCAATATTATTTTCCCCCAGTTTTCTTGGAAATATCTCAGGCTTGCAGCAGCCTGGCCTTGTGACTCATGTGAACTACTTGTTAAACAAGTTACAGAAAAAAGAAAGAAAAAAATATAGTCACTTCAAAGAACTGCCATCTCTTTGCCAAATCTGTTACGAGGAGATCTTTTAAAGATAGGACAGTGCAGCAAACCATAGGTCTGGTTAAAATTGGATAATGCAGGAAGAGTCAATCAGACGGAGTGAAATGGCTTTTTTTAAATAAAAAGTTTCTTTGTCCCCATCACCCCTACAAACAGGGACCCTTGAAACTATTTCTGAGGATGAAAAAGGAATAAACCGTGTTTTCATTTTCTTGGCAAAGAAAGAAAGAGTGGTTATTTTTGAAAGCAGAGGAACTGTCTTTCTAGTTTAGAACAGAAAAAATGTCATGTCCATTTTGACCTACTGTCTCTACAACATGGCAAGCTTTGTTTTTATTTTTATTTTTTCATCTTCATAAGTAAATTCAATTCTTGTAATAGAGTGATGTATCACATCAGTGGATAACTCAAAATCCTAGGTGCCTTTAAGGCTGGCCTTCTCATTGTAAAACATGCACTTTTTCTTTTTTTTCCCTCTGCACTTGATGGATAATCACTAAATATAAGGTACTTCTCTGGGCCACAGTCACCACAAAACCTGTTTCCTTCTTTTACTCTTTCTTAGTCCCTGAAATCTTGTCTCCCATCTTTGATACAATCATTCCATAGTGCGTTCTAAAAGGGAAGTATATTTAATATCTTACAATAACCTATAATGATAAAGAATAAGAAAAAGAACACATACATGTATTACCGAATCAATATGCTACACACCAGAAACTAACACAACATTGTATACCAACTATATGTCAATGAAATAAACAAATATAGATAAACAAATAGACAAAAGATGGCTAATGATCTCCCGGTTGGCAAACTCAGCATTTATATACTCCGACCACACTTTGTAGCCTTTGATCCTAACAAACACCTCCTTTCTTTTAGCAACTCTCATTTTTACAAATTCGAATTTCTAAAAAAATTTGCCCTTGACCCTCAGTTCTCGCTTTCCCTCTCCAACAGCCCATTCCTTTCCGGGCTCTTCTCTCCCATTGCTTCACCTGCACCCTCTACACTACGGTTTAGGATTGCGCATCTAATTCCTGGACCATGGGGAGAATGGATTTGCGAACCCAACCCCTGTCTCAGATCTGCTGGCCTCTCCTGCACTCTGCTTCTACCTGAATCCCACACGAATCTCCTGAGAGCGCTACTTTCGTTCTATCAATTTCCTGCTCAAGGAATCTTCGATAACTCCCTGATGACAAAGTCCTAATACCTTGCTCTACTTTTTACTTCGCCGTGTGCCAGACATGCTTTTAACTCTTGGATGAGCATACCTTTCTCACCCCATGTACAAGTTCATCTCCTTCTTTTTACATCCAAAGCAACCACTGTAGTTCAAACAGCCACCACCTCTTACCAGGATATTACCAGTAACTCCTAACTGGTCTCTCTGCTTCTATTCTTGTCTTCCTACACTGCGTTCTCCACAGCTAGAGTGATCTTTTAAGAAGTGAAAGGCTTCTGCAATAGCTATTCTCCAATGAATCACGTCTCTCAGAAGAACAACCCAGCAGCTGAGCCAGGTCAACGCCCAGAATTGTGAGGGATAATAAAACTGTTACTGTTTTAACATGCTAAGTTTTGAGGTGCTTTGTTATATAGCAATGGTTATCTGCAACACTTACAATTAAATTCAGCTCCTCCTCACAGCAGCCTGTGAAGTTGTTCAGGATCAGGTTCCTGCCCCTCTCTTGGACCTCAAATTCTATTCTGCTCAACATGATCCACCATATTGGTTTGTATCTGTCCCTCATACATGCAGCATTAGCACATCCACCAGGACCTCTGCCTGGAATGTGTCCACATGCCCAGAAAGCCTTCCCAGACAGCCCATTTTTGTCCTACCCTCCACTGCTCCCTCCTTGTCCTACGCTCCACCCTACTCTCTATCATGTCTTTTTTTTTTTTTGGTTTCAAAGAAAGTATCACTTTCGGAAAAATAACTATTTATTTACTTGCTTATTGTCTATCTTTCCTTCTCACTTCCTCTAGAACATAAGCTTCAAGAGGGCAGGTACTACGTCTGTCTTGTCAACCAGATGGAGATTTCCCAACAAAGTCATGAGGTTTATGCTCAGAGACCCTCACTTGTATGCACCTCTTCAAAAACCCTATCTTTAATTTTACTTTTACTTTCAAAACCAAAAGATATTTATTTTTCCAGTTTAATTGAGACAAAATTGACACATAACATTATACAAGATTAAGGCATACAGCACAGTGATGTGACTTACATCATGAAATGATTATCAAAATAAGTTTAGTGAACATCCATCATCTCATACAGATACAAAATTAAAGAAATA